GGCTGTGGGATCAGACCTGCTGTGCATGGAAATAATTCACTGGACCCATTAATTTCAGCGGGTTCTGATCACTCTTCACCACAAGTCAGTTTTGATTCTCCTAAGCTAGACTAGAGAAGCATAGCAAAAAATAATTCTGAAGAAATCAACTTTCAGTTGTTGAGGAGTGGTCTAGATATTAGCTTTGCACCTAATACCTCTGACTCTGTGGTTATGAGCAGCCCTCCTAAAGCTGGGACTATCTTCTTACTATACATTTATGAATATCACTTTTTGAAATCTGAAATTCCATCTGCCACACTTGCTACCAGCTCACCTAGTGGGAACAAGCTAATAGAGACAGATATTCTAGGTATTCATTTTTTACTGAAATCAGTGTATGTGAGCAGAGTCAGAAGCAAAAGGCATTACTTTTTTTTGCATTATGAACTCATGCATGACAACCAGCAGGTAAAATGCATCATCATCTAATGCATTCTAGTTTCAGTATTTAACTGGATGAAATTCTTACTTTCTACCAACTCCTCACAGTATGGGAGCACCTGAGCTATCCAACAGTAACTTTGATTACAGGGTTATTCCTGGCCTGTGCAAAATCAGATGAAAAATATGAAGCTTCTGTACTCCTTCACACCACACGTGCAGCAAAATAGGAATGCACTGGCCCACAAAGGCCTGTCAAAAGGACTAACCTTTACAAGGTTCTGTCATCCAGGCGATGTACCTCCCCTCCTGTGCAAAAAGACAGTACCTGGGGAACACCCAGCTACATCGCTGTTGGAGGGTCCTGGCTGGTACCGTGGCTCAGAGGGGAGAGCAGTACCTACAGATGAGGTACACAGGCTTTGTCTTTGTGGGATATGTGATTTTTATCTTGTCATACAAACTTCTTGCTTGATTTTCTAAATAAAAAATAATTTTGTAGGACTCTTGCCATTTACATAAAACTTTCTGTGTGAATTGCATCTTTATGGAAAGGTGTAATATGCAGTCAGGCAGCTACATAATTATAACTATCTAAAGTACTTTGTGAAAAAAAAGTGAGATTTATGTTAACAGAAATCACCTTCATGTTTGAGTCTGTTCGCCAAGACTGTATGCTTATATTTTGTCTTATGCTGGAAGCACTTTATTGCTTTGCAAGTGCTGGCATGTAAATAGGCAGGAGCAAGGCAGAGGGAGGAGCAGTGTGAGTGACAGTGGTAATGTGAGTTTTGCTACAGAAGTGCAGCTGTAACCCAGTGAGTGGCTGGTACTCGGTAAATGTTGGTTTATAAAATTAGCATGTGAAAAAGAACATAATTTGTATGAAGCTAAACATATACAAATACACAGATTTTGCAACTATGTGAGTTAAAATGTATTAGATCATTTGGAGTGGAGGAATGACTTCTGTAGTCATGCACAGTGGGGCTGAGCAAGCCTCGTGCTGAGGAATTCGGGAAGTCAGGGCTGCCCCACCTCACAGTATTCTCCAGGTGACTTGAGGCACTAAGATTTATCTCTTTTGAAGCATCTGGTATTTGCTGCTCCTCCAGCTAATTGTTTCAATCTCCTAGACACATTAAAAGTCAATTTTGTCCTTTAAAAAAATACAGAGAACAGGAAAATAAGTTTGTTTTGAAGTGCAGGAAAGTGTTTTGTTTGGTTGGTTTTGAGTTTGGTTTGTTTGGTGGGATCTGTTTTTTCATTCCATGGCAGAGCATTAAAGGAAAGGGATTCCCACAGTTTGTTTAATATTTGGCTGATGTGAATTATGTTGGTGGCTTCAGCCAAGCCTGTAGAAACACGTCTTCAATTATCCATCCTGGTACAAACAAGCAAAGCAGGGAATAGCTGTGGAGGGCACACCGTTGTTACAGGGCACTCTTCTGGAGCAGGGCTGAGGCTCACTCCTCTGATGTCACTCTTTGCCAAAGAGGAGTGCCACTTACAGGGCTGGCAGCCTGGCACCTTTCCTGCCCTCCCACACCACAGCCTTACCGAGGTGAAAGCTGCCCCTTGTGACCACCTCTGCTCGGAGCTACAGCAGAGAGAAAAGGTGCAGATGCTTTGGGCCTCCCAAAGGAGCAGAGCCAGGTCTACCAAACGCAGACCAAACCAAAATGTGGGCACAGCTATATTTCTTTTTTTTGTTGTTGTTGTTTTTTTCTGCAGCTAGTTATGTTGGTGATAAGAAGCTGAGGTGTATTTATGTAAAAGCAACCTTTGCAACAGCTCGTATTGAAAGCAGGTAATAAACTGCCCCTTCTTACATCATTCACTATCATCATCCTAGAACCTGTAACTGCTGAGAACGGTGCACGGAGGTGAAGTGGGGGCTGGGCAAAATCCTTCTCCTTTAGCACAGTTTTCTCCTGGCTATCTCCCCTAGTGGTCCCAGCACACTTCCCAACCCCAAGAGTTCTGGTTCTGCAGCTCTTTACACTGTTTGTAGCTGTTAACATCAGATTTTTTTTTTTTCTTGAAATGTATCAAGGAGGGGGGAAAAAAACCAAATTCTCCCACAGTTTGTTACAGTATAATGAAATCATCTAATTCTGTAATTGTTCTGTCTTCATGTGCTGACTATGGCACTGTGAACACAACTGCATAGCTGTAGGATCCATCACTCTGGAGATTTCCCAGGGTAGCTGATGAGCTGTAATTCTCCTCCAAAAAGGAATAGTTCAAATTCCAGCTGAAGCCCCTGAAAGTTCATGCATCATTTGGCATATTTGAGGCTCCAACTACTGAAAAGTCTAAAGAATTATTTCAAATAATGTGATATATCCTTCCCGTGGTCTGCAAAAGACCAGAAGAAGCTTAGATCAGGATAAGACAACTGTCCTGATTGTCACAGATCCAGGAAATGAATACATCTAATGATCACTCCTCAGTGAAGAAAGCGCCAAGAGCTATCTCTGTGCAGAAACAGTGTTTTACAAATACAGTCAGAGTTTGTATCAGGTATGGAAAATTCAGTCTCATGAGATAATGCAGTTAAATCAACTTCCTTTACTGCTTTCCCATTTATGAGTAAGAGGTGTAAAGTCCAGAAGAGCTCAGGTTACTTTTTCATATTCCTACCTTGTAGTCAACATGCTCTATAGAAGGGGAGGGTTGGCTGTGGCCTTTCCCAGGATTTTTATGTTGCCACCAGTGGTGGTAGGACTGTTTTCATCTACACAAGTTCTATTGGGACATTTGGAAGGTTTTGGACTCCAAAGACACTCAGGTTTTATAGTCCTGCAGGTAAAACAGAAACTCCTGTTCTTTGCTGTAGTATTTTTCTCTGGAACCCTGAAGATGTTTCAGTCTTTGTGGATGATTAACTAATGGTAGCAAAGTACTGCTCTTGTAAGAATTCAGCATTAACGATACACTGTTTGCTATATGACGAAAAGAACATTATCTGGGTACAGACAGAATTAGCCTGAAGAATTAGAGATTTCTGGAAGTTACAAGCAACACCTACAAGTGACTTTTATCTTGAGAATATCCTCCTGTTTCCTCTGCAGCTCGATAACTCTCCTTTTTCTGCTTGCACTGATAAATGTTTAGGAAGAGGTTTAACAAACTTTCTTTGCACAAGGGAGAAACTTGAGTTTTAACAGCGCTGGCAATGAGTGAATTCTAGCAATGAGCAAATAATATCCCCTCTCTGCTTTAGTTTTTCCAGCAGTTAAAAGTGAAATAATGCTTCTGCTAGGATGTGACAATGATACTTACTGTGGTAAAATGCCTTGAAAAGGAAAAATTAGATGTAATTATAATAGTTTAATCTGTGGTGGTATCATGTAGATTGAGTAACACTTTGCTAGCTATAAAGCAAGGTTATTACCCCAGGGAATTTACAGCACAGAAGATCTGCTCCTCTTTCAAGATTTTGTTTAGTAAAGGCAGCTGGGCGTTTACCTGAACAAACAGGCAGAAAACAAAACATGACCCACTGAATCCCAATTCTTTTTCTATTCTTTTTGTTCTGAAGGAAAAGTTGATAGTTTTGGGGTTTTTTTCTTCTTTCTTTTGCAATGATTTATTTCTATTGGACTATACTTCTAGCTCGTATGAGGAGGCAGTAAAGCCACAGATTCTCCCAGTACCTGTTATTTTTCTGACAGGGGACAGTACCCATGGTTGTCCTCAGTGTTAGCAGATCCAAATGGAATGAAAGATGCCTTTATTTCCCCAAGAAGTTAAGTAAAACCAGGGATGATTTTGTCCTTTAGGACCCCATGTTGGTTCTTATTCAAAAAAATCAAATTCAAGTTTCTTGATCTTTTTTTTTTCCTTGTTGTTAGTGTTGACTGAGCCTCAAAAGCAAGTTGATGCAAAACCCATGAGATTTAAATACTTTTCTAAACTTCTGTTTAAGCCTTCTAGGTCTGCTGCTAAACACAGCAGACACTGCAGGATTTCTGAAGAAAGGTGGCCACGAAATGTAATTTGTATATCTGTTGTTATTTCATATTTGTTCAATTGATTGTTTTCCTTTCATACTGGGTGAATCTAGAAATTGCCAGAAGTCACAGGATGAGCTTATGAAAATGAAAATACAAGCTGCACTAAACTCTGCCCTTATTTTTGCAAAGTGGGAGTCTCACAACCTCCCTGGGTGTGAAGGCAGTGTTCAGGAGAAGGCAGTACGAGCCTGAGGGGTTATGAACCAGGTACACTGACTTCTGCTGTAGAAGAGGATGATTATTGCTTCCTTCCTCCCACTGAACACAGTCCTGAATTATTGCCTGTGAAATGATTTGCGCTGCATGCCGTGGTGGTGAACTACTTCCAAAAGTATTTTAATCTCAGAATCTGTCAGTTCTAACTTGAAAGTTACCAGCATTGGTAAGCCCTGTAACAGGTTTTTAACTATTTATCATTTCTTAGATGGTGTTTGTGCCTTCAGTCTGATGGATTTAAATATGGAAGAGGAATTCTAAAATTGCTGGGAATAAAAGTGGGGGAAAACAAGCCCCAAGGGGACTCTGTGCTGCTGTCCATCTGCAAGTGATCAGAACAAATCTTGGAAAAAATGGAAAAAAAGGTAACAAGCAATGAGACTGAGCCACTGACTTCCAAGAAAGATGTCTCAGACTGTAATGAAGAAGACTGTAAAGAGAATGGACTTCTGGTCAGGGACCCTAAATCTGCCCTACGGCTCGTGGAGGATGGCAATAAAGCCCATCTCAGCCAGGGGAATAAAGGGGAGGCAGCTCAGATCTCAAATGGTTATTCAGGGGTTCAGAGCTCTGCTCCCTGCAGTGGAATGGGGGAGGTGGAAGGTGCCCAGTGCACTGCCCCAGCAGCTACAACCACCACTACAACCACCACTTCTACCACCTGTGGAGCAGAAGGCCAGCAGCAGCTGATGGAGTTAGAAGACAGAGAGACCTGGAGTAAAAAAATTGACTTTCTTCTCTCTGTCATTGGATATGCAGTGGATCTGGGAAATGTGTGGAGATTTCCTTATATATGCTATCAAAACGGAGGAGGTCAGTGACTGGTTCTCTATGTTGTTCCTTGATGCTGAACTTCCTTGCTTATAAATGCATGATTTAGTGGCTTATCTAAATGTCATGTATAACAAATGACCAAGGGGAAAATATTTACTTTTCAAACAGACTGGAAACCATAAATACTAGGACAGGATAATCAGACACACCAAGGTAGAAGAAAAGCTATTTAATAAGATCTAAAAAATTAGTACAACTAGAAGCTGAGCACCAGTTAGGTGCAGAACCACCTTCCAAGAGAAAAGACTAAATCCCTGTCCCGAGGAATATTTTAAAATCAGATGAAGCACCACGTCAAAAACAAGTCACCAGGAAGGCCAGACCTTAGACTCACTGACATAGCATCCAAAATATAAATCTAATCAAAGAGATCTTGGAAGGGACTTTTGTCTCCCTGATGTAACAAAGAAATAAATCATTTTATCTGTAGCCCATCTGACAATTGTATCCACTGTAGCCAGTACAGTGTGGTGAATCCTGTGTGTATTTGTTACACCAGCGTGAGGAGTTTGGCCTGAGTGTTTCTCCTTACTCACACTGCTAAGTAGATACTCTCATGAGAAATTCCACAGTAAATCAGTGTGGCACACTGGCTAGGGAGGGAATATGCATTTTCCCTGTAGGGTAGAATGAACTGTTCTTTATGGGGTGCTGGTAGTGTTGGAATATAAGTCCTATGAAGAATTACAATCATGTTTTCTTTCTCTTGCAGGAGCATTCCTCATTCCTTACACAATTATGGCCATCTTTGGAGGAATTCCTCTCTTCTACATGGAACTAGCACTAGGACAGTACCACAGGAATGGATGTATTTCAATTTGGAGAAAAATATGTCCTATATTCAAAGGTAAAGAAGGGAAATGGAAAATTACTAGGAGCTTTCTGAGTAACTGGAGGTTCTTCTTATAAAGGTGAAATTTCAGGAAAAAAAATTGAAAATCTCATAAAACAAAGTAAGGCTTGTTCTGCACCAGGTTTTGGCTTTACAAAGAAAGCTTTCATAAAACTTTACACCTGCAGATGTGTGTGTTTACGTTCTTATATACCTTTGACAAGCAACTCTCAAACTGATCAGAGGCCAGACCACTTTCTCTGTTCCAAGCCTGAAAATAGATATTTATACAAAAAAACCCAAACCCCAAAATGTAATTGATAAAGTGCAACATTACTGAATCTGAAGCAAAATTGAAAACCAGGCAAGTATAAAGATCTGCTATCTCTATTACAAAAATATCACAAATAAATCATTTCCCATCTTCATCCTGGTTTGTTAATTGCTATCCTACCAGAGTCTTCTAGGTCCTGTTCAATTTCCTCGTTTACCCTTGCTCCCAGGGCTGCAGTTCTGGTCTTGTCTTTTTATTTACCAAGAGCTCCAGATGCCTATTTCTACACTGCAGGAATTTAGGAATGGATGAAAAAAACTACATAAGCATGTTCTGTCTTGATTAAGGATGCTTTTTTTTTTTTTTGGAATTGGAGCCTGAGTGTTTCCAAAGCCACAAGAAATTCCAGTGTTGTAAACACTTGAGAGGGTACATGGACCTCCTGCAGAGCTGCCTCAGTCACTAATTGTAGCCGATAACCAATTCCTTCCCTCTCGTTTTTGGCTTAAAACTTACACTCACTTCATGTGATTGTTTCCTGCCTCACCAGGGATCGGCTTTGCCATCTGTATAATAGATCTTTACGTAGCCTCCTACTACAACACCATCATGGCTTGGGCCTTTTACTACCTCGTGTCGTCCTTCACGGCGGAGCTGCCCTGGACCAGCTGCACGAACGCCTGGAACACGGGCAACTGCACTGACCTGGGCAGGGCCAACGCCAGCTGGGCACCACACTCTGCCTCCCCCGCCGAGGAGTTTTACACGTAAGTGCATGTAAGTGAGGACAGGAACGTTAGACAGAAGGGTGGAACGTGCAGGAGGCTTGTTTTGGAGGGGGAGTAGAGCTGTTTATTACTGGTACCCATTTCTAAAGCAAATAACTGAAAATTTGTAGGTGTATGTAAGCTTAGGGGGGGCATGGGAGGGTACTCTGTTTTAGATCAGAGATTCCCAACTGCTGTTAATCTGTTGTTGCTTATGCTTTATCATCAGTGGTGCACCATTAACATCAAACTCCTAATTAAAAAAAAAATCCAAAATTACACGAGTCTGAAGACTCCTTATCAAGACCTCAGGATTTACTTGTAATGCTCAACCCATGGTATGGGACTGTTGAAAGCACACATAAGCATTTGTTAAAAGAATATCTACACTGTTTTTTTCTTTCCTCTTTCAGCCGCCAAGTTCTACAAGTGCACAGGTCCAATGGGCTGGATAACCTGGGGGGCATTAGCTGGCAACTGACCCTCTGTTTATTTTTAATCTTCACCATTGTATACTTCAGCATCTGGAAAGGGGTCAAAACATCTGGCAAGGTGAATGCAAAAGACAAACTTGGTACAGTACAGTCATGCAGCAGTCCTAAATGAACCAATTAACTTGACAGAGAATTCTCTTGGATTGTTTCCATGACAGAGATTATAGGCTCATGTATTTGGGAAGCACTGTAAAGTGGCTGCTTCTATTATCCAAGTAATACAAAACAATAAGTTATGCCACTGTTCTTCAGACAAGAACAGCCTCACCAAGAGAAATTGTGGGTACAGATGTGCAGACTGCCTGTTTACAGACCTCCTGAGAAGTTCACGTGAAGATGTTATAAATGCTAAGAGCTATAATATCTCATTTTTATTACAACCTGCTAACTTTCTACCCATGGCAAATGCACTTTCTGCTTCCCCTCACAGGTGGTATGGGTGACTGCCACATTCCCTTACATCATACTCTTCATCCTGCTAGTGAGAGGTGCAACTCTGCCTGGGGCTTGGAAAGGTGTCATCTACTACTTGAAACCTGACTGGCAGAAACTCCTGGCCACTGAGGTAAAAAACATTATAAAAGGGTGGAGATTTGCTTTTAGCCTATCAGCATGTATATACTTCAATGTCTGTTTTCAGTGTAGAGCATGATTGAACAGATGTCAGCATGGACTTAAAAGCCTGACTTCTTGCTGCTGCTTAAACAGTCGTGCTGTGCTTTCCATAATTATAAAGGTTTTTTTAAAGATCAGTTTAGCTTTAACTAATAGTAGAGCTCCCACACAGTGGAGAAATAGAATTAGTGATATAATTAGAAAGAAAACAACTGACCAAACATTTTTTCACCAGGAAAATGTTGAACAGCCTGACATTGAGCAAGAAGCTACAATTGCTGCTATGCTGCAACAAAATCCTTTGCCTTTAACAGTCACACTGAGCAAACTCAATTTACTAAGCCCTGAGAACAGGTCTAGCAGCAGTTTTTCTGGCTGTAAGAGGATTGTTGCACACTTGGGCAAGCTCTTCCACAGCCCAATGGTGTTCACAAGTGCCTCTGTTTAAATAGTGCAGGTTACTAGAACTGAAGCTTCAGCTCTCTGCTATGTGACAAGCTTTGGCAGATAAACCCAAGGAGACTCTCGGTACCATGACTCAGTAATGTATGCAAGTGCATGTGGAGAAGGAATAAATCAGTTAGGCCTGCAAACACCACCAAGATCTGCAAAGAAAGGAGGAATGAGGACAAGAATGAGCTAACCAACAAACCCCAGGCTTTCTGGTATCTGATTCAGCTCTGAACTCTGTGGATGACAAGTAGTCCATCAGGCTTAAGGCTGCGCTTACCTCACTGCCCATGAAAGTGTCTAGTGAGGAGAGTGATGGAAAAAAACCCAAAGCAATAAATACTACAAATACAAAGATTAAAAATTCTAATGTTTGCAAGTCTACAGCTGCCCAGCTGATACGGAGTTTTGAATGAAGAGGAAATGAAAAGACACCAGTCTCTGATAAAGCAGCTTCTCCAATAAGGGACCACATCTTCTGCAAAAGCAATAAAGGGCATTGATATTGTATTGGACATATCTGAAGTGAGGACAGCAGATTGCAATCTGTGTGCTGGACGATGACAGCACTCTCTGTCTCTGGATGATACAGGATGGCCTCACATGATGGAAGAGAATATTAGAAATGAGTTGTAATGAACTCCATGTTTCAATCAAAAGAGGATAAACGAATGAGGACTCTCACCTTCAGAAGGAGAACTGATACTGTACTTTAGGAACACTACTCATTAAGCTGTGGCCACTTTTCAAGCACAACAGGCTTTTCATAACAAGATCATCACACTTACATCTGTCATGGCTACAATAAAGCTGAATTGAGTCCTAAGGACTAGATCTGCATCCAAACTGTCAAATGTATTTCCATAAATCTAGGAAAAATCTGGGCAGTGACCATCTGCTGCTCAGCCTGGAAGACACACAGCCAAACACAGGGCTATTCCACAGGACAGAGCTGGAGGAAGGTGAGCCAAGCCCACCACAAAATCATGGACAGCAAGTCCTCCATACATTGCAAAACCTGTGTTAAAATGATGACAGGCAAACCACTGGGAATTATTCTAAGACGCCATCAGCAGTGAAACTGCCAGCGAGTACTTACAACAGAGTAAAGAGCTACAATTAGCACTGAATAGGCACTGAAGTTATAGTGGACATTTACAGCTCTCACAGATCTACAACAAATATCTGTATTTCAATATGCTTTCTTAAGGAAATGTTTGTCAGACAAACATTTCCTTAGGAAATAGGTAGACTAGTCTAGAAACACAGTTTTATAGGCATAAGTGATATTCTGGATATGCCAAACTCATTCAGTTTCATGTAATTTTTTCTTGTTCTTCAATATTTTTCAGGTTTGGGTGGATGCAGCAGCTCAGATATTTTTCTCCCTTGGTCCAGGTTTTGGGGTCCTGTTGGCTTATGCCAGCTACAACAAATTCCACAACAACTGCTACAAGTGAGTTCTACGTTATTCTATAATAAGTAAAATTGAGTTAAAAAAATGTAACTGTGGGTATTTATGAAAAAGAAACACTGAATTGTCAGACCTGTGGATATACAAATCAGACAGAAGTGTAATAGAACAAAAGTGCTTATTGAAAGAACCTCCAGCCTAAAACATTTCTTCTTTGTTGTGCCTACTCTAAAGAGAATCTCCACCAGTTACAGCAAGGAGTCTAAGATGTAGAAACTCACCAACAAAATGGACTGAACCCCTGCCAAACAATCACATAATTATTGAAGCTTAGCAGTGAGTTAGGAAATTAGAACCTTGAGCTGAACTGTAACTGATAGTTGTTTCCTTGTTATCTTATAAAATTCTATTTACAACTTGTAAATGAAAATTCTCAATTCTTTATATTCCTATAGTAATTCCTTTTTTAAAAAAACACCAGTGTATACCCAGCATTCAACCCAGTGTCAGACTAACCTTACAGCACCTGTTTCAAGTTGAAGAATCAAAAGTAATCATGGTTGGCTTTCTTCCTGTCTTTCAAATCTGCTGCTTGTTTTTTTCACTGTATTCCCCCAGTTTTTCTAGGAGTCTATCCAGATCATTAACTCACCCCATCTGGTAGTGAACCTCCCTTTGCTGATCCCCTGATACGAGTTAGGTGTTCTGTTGCAGGGATGCTCTGGTTACCAGTACCATGAACTGCATGACCAGCTTTGTGTCTGGATTTGTCATGTTCACTGTGCTGGGATACATGGCTGAGATGAGGAATGAAGACGTATCAGAGGTTGCCAAAGACACTGGTAGGCAAACTTTTTGTACACATCTCTCAAACTGTTTCTAAGATAGAACCTATTTGTATGTTATCTTCTAGATTGAGGACAGCACAAATGATGTGAGATATTTAGTATATAACTCAGGATACAGACTTTATGGTAAGGGCACTGTTATACATACAGCTAAACATAACAGTTAGTCCTAATTCTCCATTTTAAAACCAGGACCCAGCCTTCTCTTCATCACGTATGCTGAGGCCATTGCAAACATGCCTGCTTCCACTTTCTTTGCCATCATCTTTTTCCTGATGCTGCTCACACTGGGACTGGACAGCACGGTGAGTAGATTGACCTCTTGGCTAGGTGGTGTATGGCCTTACCCCCCCAAACAGCAGAAGAAACAGAATTCCAACTCCTGTACCATCATTGAAGGGTTTAAAGCAGGATTGGCATCGCCATGTGCCTTTTGTAAGACAACTACCACTCTAGTTTTGACCTAAAATTAAATGCTCTGTCAGTGTCATACTGTGACTATTAGTAACAGATCTGGAAGCACAAGCAAAGCGCTTGATTCATAAACTCCTGGTGGAATGTAGCCTTCCATCTTCTCTCTTCTACTTGTAAACTTAGAAAGCAATTATTAAAGCCTGGAATTTTTTTCACACTAGCTGGATTTAAAAGGTATAAACTGGAGGTGGTCTTCCCAGCACCACGGTGAAAAGGAGATGTTTGAAAAACTTGCCATGTTGAGCCTGTTTTTACAGACTGAGAATCAGCTCTTCCCACGAAAGCTCAACTCAGCTGATTGCACAACCTTGGTTCTACTGAGCCACCTAGCACTTACTGGCATCCTACTGCTGGTAATACACACTTCCTCTGGGTGATAGGCACGCCCTAGAGATGTGGGAAGACTAAATCCCCACCTTAAAGAGTTTTAAAGTTCCAAAGAAAGACTGTCTAATCAATGGTCACACCAACCCTACAGGCAGAATAAGTCACCAGTGCATCAAAGCTTTAAAGTTCCTTTAAGCATTGAAACATGCTTTAAAACAGGTGAGACTGCCCTCTATTTTCCCCTGATTTTTCCATGCTTTTCAGTTTGCAGGACTAGAGGGGGTGATTACTGGAGTACTGGATGAATTCCCACATGTCTGGAGCAAATGCAGGGAATTGTTTGTCCTTGGTCTGACCATCGTTTGCTTTTTGGGGTCACTAGCAACCCTGACATTTGTAAGTATTTCACCCACTCCTCACGTATCCTTACTGGCAGTTTCCTGCAAATGACATCTTGGAGAGAGTAGTAGTTTTTGAAGATTTTGGAGAAACCAGATTAAATCTCCAGCCTTTATGCATTAGAAATCTTTACTTGGAATGAAGATGAACAGCATCTCTCATTAGGAAAACGATCCCATTGCAAATCAGTAAAACTCTAATTTGCTACACATCATAAATGACACAGCCACTACTCCAACTGCTGAACTAGTAAGCAGATAACCTTCCACACTTTATGTGGTTTGCTTATGGTTCTCAAAAGCTCCATGTTTTCAAATAATAAGAATTCTTTTAATTTTTGCAGTCCTTGAAATGTATTTTGAATTTTAAAAAGAATGATAAAAAAATTATCTGCTAGAAAATGCTGTAATTGACTGTTGCTGTTCTCCAGAAATTTCTAGCAATGAATTTCCTGCATCTTCCTCATGAAATCAGACTTCATAACCAGCCACACCAAAGTCTCTGTGGGGCTTGTGGGATTTCATTTTCACAAGCAACATTTAGAATAATGATCATGGGGACAAGGAAAAAATACTTGGCTTTCCTGTAACATTTCACTCCACTTGCTCGTTAATGTGCAACTTCCTTCTTATTTGAAGTATTTGCTGTAAAAGGAGACTTGGTTCCTCTCTGAGACAATGCCCTCTTCCTTCATGATCCTGGATCCCAAATGGAAAGACAGCAAAGTAACACTGTACTTCTCTCCTGTTCAGCAACTCTGACTCAAGCTGGAGTAAGAAGATGCCATGCAACACTGTCCCATCACCCCCCCCAGGTGTTCATTCAAATCCAGCTAGGCCTGCAGGCAGATTCAGTTTTAGTTTATCTCCATGGCAGCTCCCCTGGTTAAGTATGTTCACAGAGAGTGAGCAGATGAGCAGCACGCTCCAGGGTTTCCCTGGCAGGAGCAGCCACAAAGTGACAGCACTGGCTGAACTACCCACCTGGGAGTGGCAGTGATACACAGCAGCCTTGTTCCATCGCTGCAGCTCTGGCTCACTCATTGTCTCATCTCCTTTCCAGGGAGGAGCGTACGTGGTGAAGCTGTTTGAGGAGTATGCCACTGGTCCAGCTGTGCTGACCGTCGTGTTCCTGGAAGCTGTTGCTGTGGCCTGGTTCTATGGTATGTCTGGTGCCACGCTGGCACAGTGCCACCCACCCCTGAGCCTCTGCAGCACAGCCTGCCCTCTGCTCCTGCAGACAGCACCCATGTCTCTGGGAAAAAGAGTTTACCCAACCTTTTTACAAAGCCACTGATTACCCAGTCTGTGAGAACTGTTATTAATTGTTCTCTGAGAGAAGTACAGTGACGTTTAAAAGAGCTGTAATTCAGAGTAATTAAGGATTTAATATAATTAAGAGTTATAAGAGCATGTCTTTCATAATGGATTCTGAATTCATTTGTTATTTATACAAAATGCTGTGCATCTGCTTGGGGAAAACTTCTGTCTGCTGTCACCACTCTCCTCCTGCTTGCCTCCACAGGCATCACCCAGTTCTGCAACGATCTGAAGGAAATGTTGGGCTTTGCCCCAGGCTGGTTCTGGCGAGTTTGCTGGGCAGCAATTAGTCCCATCTTCCTTCTGGTGAGTTTTCTTCATAGTTTTTTCTTTGCAGCACAAGAAAATTACTGCTGAACAATGCAGCTACTTAGACTTCTAAGAGCTTAATTACAGAATTTTCTTGTGACGTTCTTCAGAAGCAATTTTTGTTAAACCAAAAAGGCTCAATTAGGGAAAAAATCCAATACAATGCTGCAAGGTCTTGTACTAAATCACTATTTTAAGGGGTTTTGTAGATGAGCTAGCTAAGTAAGACTGGGTTCTGAATAACT